TGCATATAGAGGGCAAGTACCTCAACATAATTAAGGCCATATAAGATAAAACCACAGCCAACATCATACTTAACAGTGAGAAGTTGAAAGCTTTTCACCTAAGATCAGGAAAAAGACAGGGAGGCCCACTCTCTCCACTTTTATTCAACATAGTGCTGGAGGTCCTAGCCATGGCAGTCAGACAACACAAAGAAATAAAAGGCATCCAGATTGGTAAGGAAGAAGTCAAACTGTCACTATTTACAGATGACATGATATTGCACATAAAAAAACCCTAAAGAATCCACTCCAAAACTACTAGATCTAATATCAGAATTCAGCAAAGTTGCAGGATACAAAATTGATACACTGAAATCTGTTGCTCTCATATACATTAATGATGAACTAGCAGAAAAAGAAATAAGGAAAACAATTCCATTCACAATAGTATCAAAAAGAATAAAATGCCTAGGAATAAACCTAACCAAGGAAGTGAAAGACCTATACTCTGAAAACTACAAGACACTCTTAAGAGAAATTAAAAGAGGACACTAATAAATGGAAATTCATCCCATGCTCTTGGCTAGGAAGAATTAATATCATCAAAATGGCCATCCTGCCTAAAGCAATCTACAGATTCAATGCAATCCTTATCAAAATACAGACAGAATTCTTCAACAAACTGGAAGAAATAGTTCTAAAATTCATATGGAACCATAAAATACCCCGAATAGCCAAAGTAATCCTGAGAAGGAAGAATAAAGCAGGGGGGATATTACTTTCCAATTCCCAACTTCAAGCTCTACTACAAAGCCACATTAATCAAGACAATTTGATACTGGAATAAGAACAGACCCACAGACCAGTGGAACAGAATAGAGAGTCCAGATATTAACCCAAATGTATATGGTCAATTAATAAATGATAAAGGAGCCATGGATATACAATGGGGAAATGACAGCCTCTTCAACAGCTGGTGTTGGCAAACCTGGACAGCTACATGTAAGAGAATGAAACTGCATCGTTGTCTAACCCCATATACAAAAGTAAATTCAAAATGGATCAAAGACCTCAATGTAAGTCATGAAACCTAGAAAAAAACATAGGCAAAAATCTCTTGGACATAAACATTAGCAACTTCTTCATGAACATATCTTCTTGGAGGAAATATAGGCAAAAATCTCTTGGACATAAACATAAGCAACTTCTTCATGAACATATCTTCTTGGAGGAAATATAGGCAAAAATCTCTTTGACATAAACATTAGCAACTTCTTCATGAACATATCTCCTTGGGCAAGGGAAACAAAAGCAAAAATGAACAAGTAGGACTATATCAAGCTGAAAAGCTTCTGTACAGCAAAGTACACCATCAATAGGACAAACAACAAAAAGTCATCCTACAGTATGGGAGAATATATTCATAAATGACATATCCGATAAAGGGTTAACATCCAAAATATATAAAGAGCTCACCCACCTAAACAAACAAAAAGCAACTAATTCAATTAAAAAATGGGTAGAGGATCTGAACAGACACTTCTCCAAGGAAGAAATTCAGATGGCCAACAGGCATATGAAAAGATGTTCCACATCACTAATCATCAGAGAAATGCAAATTGAAACTACAATGAGATATCACCTCCCACCAATTAGGATGGCCACCATCCAAAAGACAAACAATAACAAGTGTTGGCGAGGATGTGGAGAAAGGGGAACCCTTCTACACTGCTGGTGGGAATGTAAACTAGTTCAACCATTGTGGAAAGCAGTATGGAGGTTCCTCAAAAATCTCAAAATAGAAATACTGTTTGACCCAGGAATTCCACTTGTAGGAATTTACCCTAAGAATGCAGGAGCCCAGTTTGAAAAAGACATAAGCACCTCTATGTTTATCGCAGCACTATTTACAATAGCCAAGAAATGGAAGCAACCTAAGTGTCCATCAATAGATGAATGGATAAAGAAGATGTGGTACATATACACAATGGAATATTATTCAGCCATAAGAAGAAAACAAATCCTATCATTTGCAACAACATGGGTGGAGCTAGAGGGTAATATGCTCAGTGAAATAAGCCAGGCAGAGAAAGACAAGTATCAAATGATTTCACTCATATGTGGAGTATAAGAACAAAGAAAAACTGAAGGAACAAAACAGCAGCAGAATCCAGAACCCAAGAATGGACTGACAGTTACCAAAGGGAAAGGGACTGGGGAGTATGGGTGGGAAGGAAGAAATGAGGGGGAAAAAGGGGCATTACAATTAGCACACATAATGTAGCGAGGGGACACGGGGAAGGCAGTACAACACAGAGAAGACAAGTAGTGATTCATATATAGCATCTTACTACACTGGTGGACAGTGACTGTAATGGGGTATGTGGTGGGGTCTTGATGATGGGGGGAGTCTAGTAACCATAATGTTGCTCATGTAATTGTATATTAATGATACCAAAATTACAAAAAAAAATTTTTTTTAAGTGCTCAGTAAATGTTAGCTTCCGCCTTTCTTCCTTCTCCTATTTGTGCCTCCTGACACAGTATTCTTTCCAAACACCATGCTGTTACTTTCAAATACTCTCTCACCAACTGTGTTAACAGATGGATGGCAAAGAACATGATTTTTTGGTGATTACCATGTGATACCAAGTGAAACCTCAGTGAAGTCCAGTTATATTATATAATTTTAAGTATAACAAACCTCCTCCCTTTTGTCCATATGGTCTATCACTTTATCAAAGTAGAAAATAAAACTGGTCTACCAACATTTGTTCTTCATAAAATTATGCTTAATGTTCCCCAATACCTTCTGTTCTTTTAGGTAACTGCCAAATGAGTTATTTGACTGGTTGCAGTTTTTGACCAGGTATTACTTAAAAATTGATCTCATCATTTCCAAAGTTATCTTTTTCCCCTTAAAAAAAAAGTATGCCTTTTTGGGTCATCACATACTTCTCCTATTCACCATACTGTCAAAAATAAAAGCTAATAGGTTCTTTTCTCTCACATTTGCATAGAAGGAATATCTAATATCAAATCATAAGCACTATTCATATCAAATGTGGCCAAAGCAATTAGTATTTCTTGTCAACTGGGTGGCATTTTCTTATGAAAAGATAAAAATGGTAGGAGGTAGCATGGTGTCTTATGAAGCAAAACTGCTGAATAATCCTTTTTTTCGGGGATAGCAAGGATATCATGAAGCATATCCTCTTGGCTTCCACATATCATTTAAAATACTCCCATGTCTTAAAGTAGATGTTAAAAGCCAAAGGAACTTTTCAATCAAATGTTGACTTCTGAAATCCACCACTTCCCCAAAAAGCTAAAGGGCATAATGGGAGGCCACAATCAAAAAAGCACCACAGAGAAAAGTGGTACCATGTGCCTGGCAGAATGAAGGTTCACTGCCAATTTCCAACACTATGAATTCATTACCTTTTCAAAGCCAAAAATGAGGTTTGGAGAGGAGCAGCTTTTCAAAGTAGCTTTTGCTGCGGTCTAGTAACTAATATAAATATGCTGAGGAGGTGGTGAAGTAGAGGCAATGTCTAGGAATAAAAATTTGACCTATCATTTGATTTGCTAAAAAATGCATTGAGCTGAAAACAAGATATTTTGCTTCATTTATTCAGTCTTTCCTGAGCTAACTTTATAAAAAGGAGAGGGGAATTATACTTTTGGTGAGTAAGTTTAGCCATCTATAAATGAAAATATTATTTGTTCTACTACTCTCATGAATCTGACAGGATAAATGAAATAACACCTGTTAAAACACTGTTCAAGAGTCAGAAGGGCCTGGAGATGCTTCTGGAAGGAATACCACGATGGCTGCCCAAGGGGAACCCCACATTCAGTTTATATTTGTATTGGTTGGTGATGGTGGTACTGGAAAAACTACATTTGTGAAATGTCATCTGACAGCTGAATTTGAAAACTGGGAACATTATCCTGTAAAATCACTAANAGAATACTGTGTCAGGAGGCACAAATAGGAGAAGGAAGAAAGGCGGAAGCTAACATTTACTGAGCACTTAAAAAAATTTTTTTTTTGTAATTTTGGTATCATTAATATACAATTACATGAGCAACATTATGGTTACTAGACTCCCCCCATCATCAAGACCCCACCACATACCCCATTACAGTCACTGTCCACCAGTGTAGTAAGATGCTATATATGAATCACTACTTGTCTTCTCTGTGTTGTACTGCCTTCCCCGTGTCCCCTCGCTACATTATGTGTGCTAATTGTAATGCCCCTTTTTCCCCCTCATTTCTTCCTTCCCACCCATACTCCCCAGTCCCTTTCCCTTTGGTAACTGTCAGTCCATTCTTGGGTTCTGGATTCTGCTGCTGTTTTGTTCCTTCAGTTTTTCTTTGTTCTTATACTCCACATATGAGTGAAATCATTTGATACTTGTCTTTCTCTGCCTGGCTTATTTCACTGAGCATATTACCCTCTAGCTCCACCCATGTTGTTGCAAATGATAGGATTTGTTTTCTTCTTATGGCTGAATAATATTCCATTGTGTATATGTACCACATCTTCTTTATCCATTCATCTATTGATGGACACTTAGGTTGCTTCCATTTCTTGGCTATTGTAAATAGTGCTGCGATAAACATAGAGGTGCTTATGTCTTTTTCAAACTGGGCTCCTGCATTCTTAGGGTAAATTCCTACAAGTGGAATTCCTGGGTCAAACGGTATTTCTATTTTGAGTTTTTTGAGAGGCCTCCATACTGCTTTCCACAATGGTTGAACTAGTTTACATTCCCACGAGCAGTGTAGGAGGGTTCCCCTTTCTCCACATCCTTGCCAACATTTGTTGTTGTTTGTCTTTTGGATGTTGGCCATCCTAACTGGTGTGAGGTGATGAGTTTTCAGTTTTAAATAAACAGGTTTATAAATAAGGTTCCCTTCCCATTATTGACACTCAAACTAAAATATTTTTTAAATTAATAAAAAAGAAAAACAACACTCATATTCTTATCCCATTAGATATCTCAACTTACTTCATCTCCCTTCAAAACTTCAGTGCCATCAAATTCACGGGTCTGATTTGTCTTCACTGACACCTCTCTCTCTAAGCTGGCTAATTTTTCCTTTGCTTCCTGAAGTTCCTCCGCTTTGGCTTCTTTTTTACGAGAGGTGATGGATGCCTAATTAAGCATTAAAAATATTAACAAAATAAGACATACAATCAACTTTCTTCATGTTGTGAAATTATCTATTTTTTACATTTTATCAAGCTCAATTTTTAATATCTGGCTACTCCTGACCAATACTCCTTGCCCTACTGTCCGTGATCACCAGTTAAATATTTAGTGTAAGTATGCAATGTATACTGAATATCAACCTAAGAACATTCTGGAAGACAAAAGTTCTGAAAATATAGGACATATCAGTAGAGAAACAAAAATGCAATTATAATAAAAATATAACATTGTCAAGTAATACTTAAATACTAATAATGAAAATACATTCTAGGTAGGTAAACAGAAGATAACACTAAGTCTATTGTTTTTCTGCATGGTGGGTATCCTTTCACTGGAAGAAAACAAAAATGCTTTATTCTCAAAACTACAATACAGATCATCTTATCTTACATAAATTTATTTTTGAAATGAAATATGATAGCATTTATTATATTGGGGCATTCTATTAATTAAAATGCAGGTTCAAAATCAAACATCTGACTCAGCAGAATTATGCTAATGTTAACACAAGTGAATACTAGTTACCAACTCTTAAGGGATTTCCTTAAATGAACCATGGCTGTGCTAGTTTAAGAAAAACATTGGTTAAACTGTCTTCTTAAGTGAAATAATACTTTCACTTAATATTTTCTTCAAACAAATTTGAAAGAAAGGGAAAATTGTTAGTGCAAACCGTTTAAAAATTCTACTGTTCTACCTGTTTAAAAAATGAAAAGATAGGTGATGAAGGAATGTTTCTCTCTATAGAATTATTCCAGCCAAAAAAAGAGAGAAGGAATGATAAGAGTACCAGAACTGTGTAGGAATTGATGGTATATTTCCTTAACATAATATAAGCCTTGGTTCAAACTAGGGTCTTACTTAAAAGGGAAACAGAAGGGTATCTCCCATTAAAATCTAGAATAAGATAAAAATGCCCACTACTTTCAATACAACTTAATATTGTGTTGAAGGTATCTGCTCATAACATTAGATAAGAAAAAGCAACTAGAAGCATAGAATTTGAAAGGAAAAATTACAATTTTCATGCTATATGATTATGTACCTAAAAAAAAAAAGAATCCCTGTGATAACTATAGTAAACAAAACTACAGCTTTCATAGATTAACAAATCAGTCAGAAGATATAAGGAAATAAAAGCTCTGTATTAGAACAGCAAGAAATAAAAATATTTTTGAGAGAACTATTATGAGGAAAACTATTAAACACTCTTGAAAGACAAAGAAATGAACTAGAGCAAATGAAAAGACATACCATGTTTTTAGGAAGACACTATCACAAAGAAGTAAATTCTGAGGTAATCGGTAAATACAAAGCAACCCAAATAATTCTAAAAATTGTACTTTTTTTCCTAGAATTAGACAAAAGTTGATAATGAAGCTTATTTGGAAGAATATATAGACAAGAATTGTAAAGAAAATGCTGTAGAGGTGAAGCAATTGGGGATGAAGGCTACTTTTATTAGATATTAGAACTTGATTATAAAACTTTGATAGATAAAAGTTAGTAAGAGTACATGAATAGACAGACCAATAGAACAAGACAAAATCTAGAAATAAATCAAACAGCATTTTAAAATTTAAAATAAAACAAACGGTAAAAGAAAGCATTACCCTTTGATGTAGATTTCACTTCTGGGAACACATCCATTTTGGAAAAATGAACTTTTCACTAACCTGTACTGGGACAACTGGATAACTGGATAGCCACATACAGTAAATACCATACACCATAAAAAATCCTAAATTGATCAAAGATTTAAATATAAAAATTAAATCACATTAGTCCAAAAAAGATAATTTGAATAAATTTCTCTGTAACTTCAAGGGGGAAAAATGTTCCTAACTATGACTTAAAATCTGAAATAAGAAGATAAATTATTGGGGGTGGAGCCAAGATGGCAGCATGAGTAGAGCAGCGGAAATCTCCTTCCAAAACCACATATATTTCTGAAAATATAACAAAGACAACTCTTCCTAGAATAGAGACCAGAGGACTCAGGAAAACATCCAGACCACATCCACACCTGCGAGAACCCAGTGCCTTGCGAAGGGGGTAAGATACAAGCCCCAGCCCAGCGGGACCCGAGCGCTCCTCACCCCAGCTCCTTGCGGGAGGGGGAGTCAGAGCGGGGAGGGAGAGGGAGCCCAGGACTGCTAAACACCCAGCCCCAGCCATCCGGACCAGAGCGCAGACACAGTGCATGCGTGGGGTCCTGGATACTAGAGAAACAGGACAGCAAGACCTGTGAGCGGGTCCCTGAGGCCGGTGCCCAGGAACAAAGAAAAGCGAGCAGCTTTTTTTTTTTTTAATTATTAATTTAAATTTATTTTTTTTTGCGAGTGCTTTTTGGAAGTCTTAAAGGGACAGGGACCCCAAAACCAGACGGAAGCATCCTGGGACACTTAGTCCAGCAGCAGGGAATCTGGGGATCTCTGGGCACTCTAACCCCCTAGGCAGCAGGGAGCACGGAGGCCCCTCACGGAGATAAATAGCCTCCCGGCCGCTCCCCCTCCAACACGGCTCCACCATATCAGAGCAGGAGCCCAAGGCAAGGCACGCCCACAGCAACCACAAAGATAAACTGCATAGCAGCCGGGCAGGAATAAGAAGCCCTGTCTGCGCGCAGCTGCCCAGCACAAACCACTAGACGTCGCTGTTCTCCCAGGAGAGGAAGGCCACAAACCAACAAGAAGGAAAGTTCTTCCAGCCGTCACTCGTGCCAGCTCTGCAAACTATCTCTATGACCATGAAAAGGCAAAATTACAGGCAGACAAAGATCAGAGTCAACATCCTAGAAGGAGACAGACCTAACCAGTCTTCCTGAAAAAGAATTCAAAATAAAAATCATTAACATGCTGACGGAGATACAGAGAAATATACAAGAGCTAAGGGATGAAGTCCGAGGGAGATTACAGATGCCGGGAAAGAGATTACAGAAGTGAAACAAACTCTGAAAGGATTTATGAGCAGAATGGATAAGATGCAAGAGGCCATTGATGGAATAGAAACCAGAGAACAGAAACGCATAGAAGCTGACATAGAGAGAGATAAAAGGATCTCCAGGAATGAAACAATATTAAGAGAACTGTGTGACCAATCCAAATGGAACAATATCTGCATTATAGGGGTACTAGAAGAAGAAGAGAGAGAAAAAGGGATAGAAAGTGTCTTTGAAGAAATAATTGCTGAAAACTTCCCCAAACTGGGGGAGGAAATAATCAAACAGATCATGGAAATAGACAGAACTTCCAACAGAAAGGACCCAAGGAGGACAACACCAAGACACATAATAATTAAAATGGCAAAGATCAAGGACAAGGAAAGAGTTTTAAAGCAGCTAGAGAGAAAAAGGTCACCTAT